ACAAACCGCCACGAACCCCCATCTCCGCATCTCTTATCTAATCGTAACTACCCACTACAGCGTAACGATTTCTGTTTGGCAGACCTGAGAGGTGGCAACTCGCCGCATCGAGCCTGATTGAAAAGGGAGCAGACAAACAAATGTATCCATCAAGTCCGTCCAGGTATTCAGCCGTGTGCCCAGTAGGCCATCTTGGGTTACAGATTAATCAGTACCTGGGACAATTCTGTTAGTGCTTGATTAAGTCGTACGTGTCAGCGAGGTGGGAGGGGGTAAACACGGAGGACTCAACGACACAATAGTCAAAATCGAGCGGTGTCAGCAACCCAATAGACACTCCAGTGGTGCATGCTACCCTACGTGCCGGGAGGCTGAACCTTCCTGCATCCCATCAGGGTGTTCTGTAATAGGAATCACAATGTGCGAGGCGCAGAAATTCCGATCTGTCAGAGGTGCTTGTTTGGTAGGGTCAGGTCACCGGCAGCGAGGCGGATGTAGAGTGCGACATCATTGTATCCTACATCTGCCATGCGAACTACATAATGAATGCCCCTTCACGCTGCCGTTACAGTCTAATTTTCCCATAATTAAAGTAAGGTTGGCTTGACTCCACTGGGTCCTGTCGGGTGTCAGGAAAACATGGCAAACCCCCGTGCTTCTTCTCACACGAGGGCGTCCACGGCCGACCTGCAGTGTTTGCTAACGGGGCAGGGTCTCTAGGTGACTGAAAGGAGACACTCCGCCTAACCAAAGCCTGTCAGTAAAGGAAGGCGCAAACGCGTAAAATCCCGCATTTTCCAACTGATCCCTGCGGTGAAAAGGAACCAGCAGCCGGGATTTTACTGGAAGTTTGTAAAGGACCACTTCGTGTTGTTAGAGCCGCAAGCGACGTCACCATTAGCACAGTGCCCAAACACTGCATAGAATTTCCGTAGCTTGATCTATGTTAGGGCACATGGAAAGAAACAGCTCAACAAAAGCTACCAAATCGGTAATGTTCTGTACAAATCGCGAATTTTCCGACAGATTAAACTATACCCTGTTTCAACAAGTTGTTGTGATTGCATCAACCGCAGCACGGCATTTGCGGACGCCAGTTCGACACGCTTTGCCAACTAATGCACCAGACGACAGAAGTGTGACAAGCCATATTCATAACACGAACCTACGGTCGTCTATCTTACACGACTGGTCGGTTCTGATGAATGATTCCTACCAGAAACAAGGTTTGCAAACAGCTATCCTCATTACCTTCGCGCAGTGTTTGCCCTGCCACATCAAACCATAAACAGCGCGATTCGCCCTGTGAAAACGGGCACCTCTGAAAGGCACAGTGGGTTACTGAAGCATTCTAACTTCTCTGTTATCGGAGAGTACCCGTCGAAAGATCTTTGAACAGACCGATGATTGACAACAAACAAGTGTAGAGGGCTCAGTGAAACTTGAAGTAAAGGGAGAGCACTGTCTTCCAGCGTACGGGCAACAGGTATCTAGCAAACAGTTCCCGGGGCGGTGACTTGCTGATGTTGTAATGGCGGAAGACCCCTGACCTTTGAGACACACCATCCCGCAGTACCGCTAATAACTACGGCGTCGATGTCCCGCAGGACTTATCTACAGTAACGTAAAACCTCACCTGTGGCTTGGAGGGCGACACGGAACCGAAACCGTCGGACCACAGCGTCCCGCAAGGCCGTACGTTATCAGGCAAAGGGTCCTGCCTTGGTCTGCGCCTATTTGGTGTGTGCCGGGGTTATCCGATCCTCAGGTGTTGTAGCGCACGGGCTGCCACTGTTGTCCCGACTCTGGCACAACACGTGTGGGTCATTAGTAAATATATGCACCCCTTGACCCTTGCTTGTCGACGGATAGATATCTCATAGATTTTCAATCATATGCGTCCAAACGCAAACAATCCGACCAGCAGAGAAACCGGAGCACTACTAGCAGGGGCTGTGAGAACGCAGTTCCTCCGTGCGACACGATCTACTTCCCGCAGGTGTGCAGAGCAGGGCAGTTGTTGAACGGGGGTGGACATTGCCGTGCGTGGCTTGATATCTGATCCACGGTGTTTGTTTAGGTTTCCCCGAAGAGAACAGCAAGTCGTGGGCGCCGTGACGCGCGAGTGTCGTAGGCTCTGACGGGAGCTTCCAGGTGACGGGAGATGCTCACCGGCTGACGGTCCAATCACATGTCTGAGCATGCATACCCAGGCATAATTCACACAGGGCAGCCTCCCGCCAAGCCAGGCGGAATCGACGAGAGGTGGCTGTTTTCAAAACAAAGCCAGTCGCCGATTGTCCATGAAAAAAGTTTACCAGGGAAAGATCTATCGGAACTTAGAGATCGCAAGAGAAGAATCTACAGACGCGTCCACAGATAGAATCAGCTTGTGAGGTTCTATTAGAGGGTTGGCAGGCAGGCATGAGTCATGTCAAGCTCCGTCGTCCTGGGCTGGAATCCAACTCCTTATCACAGAAATGCGTCGCACCTCCCTCCAAAAACACATAGTTAAGACCCTCCCCAACTGAAGCACGCGAAACGCCCACCGTGGGCCCACCGTAAACGGCCAAATGTCATCAGACAGGTCATCTGACAACCAAAACTACAGTGTTGGGTTCAAAGGACACGATGTCTTCCAACTTTATGCACCGGAGTGCTCCACAGTTACTGATCTCGCAGCTTTCTGAGTCTTAACCAGATAATCCGTTGTCCGTCTAAAACCCAGCGTAGCGTCCTTCTAGCGCTCACCCAAATTCTTACACTACCATACACCGACATAAATGTTTTGTCAGTTTGCGAATAAAAAGCTATGGAAACAGCGTGCATTGTTTTGCTCTAACAGACGAATCGCGTCCTCCCTGCAGCCAAGACATTTCAATTAAATGGTCTTCTCAGAACAGCGTCATTGCGATGTCTGGAAACTAGCGGGGGCCGAGGCTGATTCTGATTACGCCACCACCATGGCTACAGTTGTTTACTAGAAATCAAAATTTGTCAACGACAAAGCCCCTTTACAAGTTGTAGGCAAACAGTGGTGTAGTAAAAGTGTACACTCAAGGGGGAAGACTAAAAATTATACGAATACACGGGCAAAATGTCTGATTATCGCTGTACGTAGGGAGAACGCGCCGTCGCCTTGACCCTTAGTCCCAACCGCCCCGGGGAAAGCTTAGCACAACGATAAGTATCTTGGCTTTTGGACAGAAATTACGGGAGGAACTCGGAAACTTACCGTGGAATAGGAACTCCTGCATGCAGTCCCGGGTCCAAGCGACTGGAGAACTGATGTCCGGCGTCGGTTTCCTGCGTCGTTGAGTCATTGGACGAGGCGACGTCCTAGGAAAATCGCCGGCACAACGCAGGGACTAGAGCCTCCACTTCTCTCGGCTGTCAGACCGACTTGTGTGTGACGGAAAGCGGCTTCAGGTCCGGCAGGAGCAGGGATATTCACGGTGACAAACACGGAAGACTGGAGAAGCGAGAAATACCGCGGTCATGCCCGCCGTCGTCCTTTAGTCTTAGTCGCACTCGGCAGCCGATGGGAGGAGGACCGTTAACTGACCAGCCTTTCCGTCCGCCCGACTCGTCCCAACAAATCCCACACTGTGGTCGCGGCACTGAATGCCAACCGGACCGTTCCGAAAACTTCAATCTCGCGGGAACCTTTGAGGTGTGGCCAGTAAATGCGGCAATCTGCAGACCACCACAGCCAACCGTGAGACCATTATGGTGTTTGATTTACACTGGCTTGCGTCAAGGGCTCTTGAACATTTCCTGTTGGGATCGCGTAACCTCTCCGCGAAGGGGACCACTTCCTGACTGAAAGGGCTGACGGGACGACGGGGAACCGGGCCGTATGTGGTCACATGTGTATTCCGCAGTGTATTGCGGGCCAGTCCACTGCCCGGAATGTGTGCTGATTGTCTGATGACTGACTCAGATCGCTATCTGGTTTCATATTCACCTGTTAATCATCGAGTGCCTCCTAATCCACGGGTAAACACTGTCTGCAACCTGCAGGGTCTAAAATCGTTCTAATGAGGTCTTCAAGGCAAACTTCAGCGGGGGAAACTACCAACTAAGGAAAACAATGAGAGTGTTACTTTGGCAGAAAGTTGTAACCGATTGGCAGGCCTATCGGCATGAATTTGACTATTGTTCCCACCATGTGGAACCTGTCTTCCTGGTAGGAGATGCTCGGTGATAAGTGTGAAGATGCCAGAGGCATCCCAATTAACAATTGCCTGCTGCAACAATGAACTTTTCTATCTACGTGACTGTGCTCATGTCTGTGGAGGGGGAGGATAGAATTTTGGTCAGAGTTTCAGTTTCAAGATAAAAGTCAAGTTTATAAATTGGGCTTGTTCTGTGGGTCTTTTGGGACCCTTTCTGCATTTTCTCTTGTTAAGTGATGCACTTTTTCTGTACTGCCTAAAGACTGCTCACTGACTGGCTAGTACTTGGCTACAACTTGAAGTCATTGACTTTCTTCCTTCAAAGACAAGTTGCTGCCAACTCATATGAGCTGCCCGCAACGACAGCACGACTAAATCAACAGGTGTGTTAAGGATACCAACAACAACATAGCTGGCAATTGCACCCATATTACTGTATCTGACAAATTCTTTTAGGCAGTGAGCATCAGTCCCATCTCCCTCACCAAACATCCCTGGAAGATCAAAGCCCTGGAGTAATCACCTGGGTCAATACATTTGTATGTCCTTTGATTCATTTCCATATTGACACAGCACGGCATATTTCCTCGGGAGATTGGACCAGCTATCCTCTCATCCCATCATTGGCACAGATTCACAGGAATCTCTGGAATTCGGCAGATTCCACAGTAAGTGCATTCCTTCATCAGCGCACAGATAACCAGTGAAAGTTCCAAACAGGAATTCTGTCTGGATGCCTGCAGGTTTTCATCCCAAGTTGAAAGGGTACAGATGTGGAGGGGTACTAGATGTTTCTTTTCTACAAGACTGATAAACAAATGTAAGGTGGCACAATACATTTATTGTTAACAAAAATATCTGGACAACGAAATGGTGTATATACAGCATCAATTTGATAGAATAATATTATCTGTATATGTGTACATGCAGGAAAGTACAAAAATAAGAGCAATGCAAAGTTTTATATAATGAACAACCAAAACATCAAAGATTTCATGAATCAAGCACCAGAAATCACCAATGATCAAGTCTCACATTTTCAAAATCAATTCATATAGATCTACAGCAGTTAAATTTGATATTGCAAGTGATACCCCCATAAGTATAATGGTCTCTTCCAGCCACAATCATATCTCAGTTGAGGCCTGTTGCTTCAGATGAAACATCAGTAAACCTCATACGTTTGTAACATTATTTTTTGGAAATGTTACTATATCCCACACCCATCTGCTTTGTCCAATACCCTACAAACAGAATTCTGTAGTGTTGGAAGATACCAATGGCAAACAAGGGGTGAGTCAACAGCAACACAATTAAAATATATTATTCACAATGCGTAGAAAATCGATCAAGAGGTCCCAAAATAGCATAACAATATGGGTCTTTTCTAACAACTCATCATGATTAGATCTTTTTTCACGTTCTCTCCACATCAAAGAAGTGAAGAGGAGTTGGACTCATCCATAGGGATATTGCACTTCCTGTGGAATTCCAAGACTTTGGAGTCCTTTAAATCTTCTGTCATGTCCAATTCCTCTCCTCAGGGAAGGGTGTGAATGTGGGGTCTGCAGTTCAACTTCCCAGACAATTTTTCCCACCAGAATGCAGGCCTCTTGGTTTTTATGTCTCTGAAGTATCCCGTATACAGTAGTTAAAACAAATTTTCTCATGAATTTGAGACATATCAATCATGATCATGGCTTAGCCATTTAGACTTCTATGTTCAGTATTCCAGTTTCTCAGACTGAGACATTTAAGACAGTTTAAGGAGCAGGCTAGCTTATGTCTTAATGGATCCTTAATCGTGCAGCTGCTGTGAGATGCCTTACATGGTGTGGTTTGGCTGTGAGGAGATGTCCCAACAGGACAGCAGGCCCGGACAGCAGGCTATGTTGTGTCTTCCAGGGTTTTTGTGAGGTCCCACAGTCTGATGAAACCGTCATCGCTACAGCTCACTACATGATGGAGTAGTGTCTGTAAAATGACATTGGACAGTGAAAAAGTTGTATCCTTTTGGACAGGACAGATATAGTTATTGGAATCCCTAATACTAGTACTTAAACATTTAAATGTTTCATAGTGTACTCATGTTGAGCTCGTGATGTGATGTAATGTAATGTGTGTTTTTTCCAAATCACAGAGAGACTAAAATAGTGAATTGAAATAAATTCAACTAAAAAAAACTGTGATGATCTTTGAAGACTAATTAAAAACAGCATAAAAACTTAATAAGTAAAACAGGGCACAGTTACATTCTGAAAATTAACAAGGACATAAGGATTTAACAAGCCAAGGACAAGTAGATAACATTACAACTGCCAGAAAATTGCTTCCTTCCCCTTCACATCCTTGAGAGCATACCATATCTTACTTTGCCACAATTCGACCCTCTAAGTTTTGTATATCTGCGGTATCCATCATCGAGGCACATCTAAATACTGTTTTGCAACAATGTTGGGATTAGCGCAGGTCACAGCGAGTAGGCCTGGCCGAATCTCCTGAATTGTTACCCTGTTATCTGGTTGATAAGTGTGTGTAAGAAAGTCTATCCCCAACAGCAACCCAAGCGTGATGAATCAGGTTACCCCGAGAAGGAAAAATGAACAGCAGAACTATACTTTTAAGTCTTTTGTTTTTCTAGAATATCTATGGTAGTGAGAGATCAGCAGGAATGCATGGGAGAAGTATGCCAGGTAGATAACATAGACACAGGTATTTTTTGTTGAGATAAAACATTCCAACAGGTGTCATCAGATACCCTGTTGGGTGACAACTTTGATGTTCCGACTGGCCTCCGCCATCTCATCATCAAAAACTCTTCTGCATATTAGAGTGATGGCATTTTTCACGCTTCAGGGCACACTGGCATAAACAGAACAAATTCTGTATCCTCAACAGGACCTGGAGCTGATCTTCAATAGATATGTTCTCTGGCTCTGGAACAGCAGGCTCAAAATTGATTCTGTTTGTAGCAATGTATTTGTACAACATGCAGAAACACTGGGCAGTCACCATGCCCAGAAATGAGTTAGGAACCATGACAAGTAATCTCACAACATTGCTACTTGTGGAATATTACTTCCCATGAGGCTGATCATGTTAAACAGGCCCCCTGAAAAGTCCAACAACATTCATTTACTGAGCTGGTGGCTGGGGGAAAATGTACCTTAACATAATGTGCTGAGAGAGAAAACATCTCTGGTTGTTCCAGGTGGTGAGATGCTGGGCAGGAATGTGATTTCTCCATGGCCACCAAAGCTCTTCCTGTTTTGCGCTCCCCTCTACAAAGGCCAAACCGATTATGGCTGGTCGAGATATTCTTTCTCCCATGTCCGGCACAGAGGAGCTCTGTTCTGCAACATGATCTGATCCCAAATCCTCTCACAACCCAAAAGAACAATTTTCCTCTTCAGCACTCCAATTGAATTAGACCTCATGAGGACTTTAAGGGGATTTGCCATCTCTTATTAATGCTTGGATTAAATTCAATGGAAACTGTGTCCAACCCTGCCGAACATCAAAGCGCAGGGGTGCCTTTCACTGAGAGGGAACGTTGGATGTCTCAATTGGTTTGCAACCAAAGAGATGTCAGAGGAAAAAAGACGTCAGAACCATGTGCCCTTGGAGAACATCTGTGCCATCTAATAAAAGCTGGAAATCAGGCCATAACCAAGGAGTCCTGCTGCCCTGGGCATCCTTACATGAGCAGCATCTGCACAGGTAATCCTCCGACACCTGTGTTTTGTTTGCAGGCTGTTGTGTCTTGAATGGGCAGCACAAAACCAGCCAGGTGTGTGCTGGTTCTGAATGGACAATGAACACATGGGATACCCGTGGTGAGAAAATTCCTCCCCCACTGAACCACCATTGTTGGGTAAGGACTTGGTCCCCTTCTAAGGGTGCATGCAGACTGAAGGTTATCCAACCTGCTGGATCTAATGATAGGGACCATGGTGAGGGAAAATATGGTCACAAAGGGATGGGGGTGGGCTTCCTTCTCCCCTGCTTCATAGCCGTATCCAAGAAACTGCTGCTTCCGAGGAAACATTCCAAGACAGTAAAAGTTTAATACAGTCCTTAGCTTTAAACCGTCCACCACTAGGAAAACCTCTTGTACGGAGTGACCTTGCCTGGATGCACCACTGATAGGTAAATTACACGACCATCTCATCTGCACACAAGGATGAACCAACGACCCTTCCCAATAAATGCACCCTGTAGTGACTCCGTTACCTTCCAACATTCCAGCATTACAAATGATAGAGCAAGGTCACCTGAATCTTCCCTAAGTGCCTTGACCCACCATTTGGGTCGTCTGAAAACTTTGCACCCAACCTGTCCTTTCAGGAAGGGAAGACAGTTAAGTTCTGATGTGGCAAATCATTACAAATTTGTCTGCCTGGATGGGAGGGGGACTGATGTACAACTCAAATGAAGGGGCAGAGCAACAGCTTGAGGTCAACTGACATACACATTGCTGCTTCCATCCTGCTGGGAACAGGCATACTGCATGTAGAGATCACAACCCTGATGTAGTATAAATCACTTCCACACTTCCTGGTACATTATACCAAGGAATTCTAGCTAAAGAATGGAACTTAATAATGTAAACCAGCACCTTCATACAAAAACAGGGTTTTTCTACTGAATATTTTTCCTTTAGTGAAATCTTAGATAAGATGTAAAGTTTACCTCCCAGGAAATAACTTCCAATAGCATTCATATACGAAAAAGGTAAAACACAAGAGGCCATGTCCTCCTGGACCATCTCACATTCTGTCTTGGTTGATTCAATCCTGGTGCCATCATACTCTAAAAAGATCACTGTATATCCTCTTCTTGTAACCCAGCTACAGTTAAAACAATTTTACTACTGTATAAAAGTTCCACAGCAGTTATTTTGCATCCTGTCCATATTTCAATCATGACAAAGTATACAAAGAAGGATTCAATTTGAAAAGTATGCGTTGAACAGAATTCCTGTCCTACATATACTTACTTTCACCTGCCGGATGGGTCCCTTGTGTCCGTGGAGGGAGCGTAGACATGTAAGCGTCACCAGGTCCCACTCTTTTATCACCGCATCACTGGGATGGAAGACAGCAAAGATGGCACATTAGGAACAACTATCAAACATCACTTCTTCATCATCATCACCATTTCAGGCAACTTGCCTGGACCAAGTCAACTCCATCGCTCCAAAAGTTCCTGTTTTCCTTTATACTGAACCTGCCTCAACATGATGTAAGTCTATCAATATTGTCAAGATATAGTGGAAAAGGGAGACCAAAGCTTCAGCTCTATAGGTTGAAAAGTTCTAGGATAGTGCTAGGTTGCTGCTTACTAGTATTAGGTTGTATGGAGTATTAATTCAATGTTGGATAAAATAAGATATGTGTTACTTTGCATGGCATCCAGAATGTTTTAAGTTGGAGATGGTGCAGAGTAACATTGATATTACACATGTAACGTTACTGTTTTCATTCTTTTGCATCATCTGATAGGACGGAAAAACTGATGGAAATTGTGGGGGAAATGGGCAAAAGCTAAGGAGACCAAGAACAAGCATTCAACATGTAAAATGATACAGAAACAGAGTAGCTATGGTATGGCTATGCATCCTGACACTCAACACTATTCTAACAAATGCCAGGTAAAAATAGGACCACACTGACATCATATGTCTGGGTAGCAATCATCAGAAAGTGCTACATCAACACTATAGATGGTATCGCAATACCGTCAAAATAACCATTGCCACATATTTCTCTTTCTTTGGGGTGCTCATACTATAGAAATCAATATAAGTCCTGACAAAGCACTTCCGTAAACATTGGTGACAACATACATGAAGCACTTTTATGGAGTCCAAGTCCAGCCAGTCAGAAATCATTATGATTTTCCATCATGATATCTGCTTGAAGATGAATCTGATTCAGTGGTCTTGAAGAATGCCTCTCTAATTCTAACCATTTGTAGTTATCATCCTCCCTATTTTGTGTCCCCGTGTCTGAACCTTGGGGAATGTTTAGATGAGATTAAAGGGTGGATTCAAGCATTTCAAAGGTGCAAACCTAGGAGCTGGGTTCCTCCCCAGGTAGGGCCTGACAGTGTCACAACACCTGTAATTGTTGTGATTGATGTAGTAACACAAGAAACATTTGTCCAAACATCCAGGTCAGCTTGGGGGCACCCAGATCTCTTTTCACACCTTCAATCCACTGACAAAAGGGCGGGTCAAGGTGATCCCATCTCTATTCACCGCGCGATGAATGGCCCCACCTTCCGCCAGGTTTACAAGTTTAGATAGCATGGCAGGGCTCTCATAAGGGCACAGCCGCGGTGGGGTGGCTGAGACGTAACAGGTGGCAGGGAGCGGACAGGAACAGATATCCTTCTCCTTCAGTTGTTGTACGTGTGCGCAGACATGTTATACCAACTTCAACTGACCAAATGTAAGACAGCAAGGGGCCGATAGAACCTTGGATCTGACACGTGACCCTCACCCAAAGTCATCACAGCATTGCCGACACCATCAGAATCATGAGTGAAGACTTCCAGTAACTGGGATGCAGCATGTATATGGTACGAGCAACGAGCAGTCGTATCATGCAGTTTTGGATCAGAAAAAATAACAGATACTAGTATATACATGTAACAGCTCATTGGTCCTCTTTCCTGAGTGGTGAAGTTGTCATCAGGAAACGAGTCTTGAACCTTCTATGAAGCCAACAAGCAACGTTTTACCAACCAAAATAACACCTGCCTATCTTGGTTATGTGGTTTCTTATCTCCGACTTATCCTTGGCATGCTGAATCAGATGTATCAGCAGTTAACTTTTCCTGAAGGGCACCACCCGTCCCTCAAGCCGCCCCACATAATGGGGGACATGGTAGGCTGATCCGCCAGGTGGGCCCTATCAGCCATTCCGAGGCTTCGACCCCAAACTTATATTTTGAAGATTTCAACAGCTGGTTGTTATGGTAACAGGAATGCATGATTGTGAAACACCATCTGGAAACACATGTTGCCAGAGGTGGGGGTAAAAGAGGAGGCAACTGCCATTGTGCCAGAAAGCATTTCTTGAATACTTTCTAACTTATTCGGAAAAAGTCTGCTCCTTTTGTCTGCCTAATGTTATCTCCTAGTTCCATCTGTGACGACTATAAGCCCAAGGATGATGTTTGAAAACGGAACATTCACATTCTAGAATTGAGACGATGAAGGCTAGACAAGAGGAGAATGGACTTGATCCAGGTGGGACGTCTCATGTTTGAAGCTGAAAAGGCTATCACAGTAGACTTGTCCTTGCAATTGGATGTAACTTTTGTAATGGGAGTTTGCTTACTGACTTGGTGCTGTGGCCACAAATTGGGCCTGCATGCCACTTAACATGGACGTCTGCTATTGTCCATGTAATACCATTGTCACTGTGGAATCCTGAGTACCGGTCAATGACCCCAATATGTCCTTACCTAAAACATGATTGTCAGAGTCAAAACTGAGCAGAGCTCACAAAATAACTTATCCCAATTTTTATGTTCATTGTGAGAACAATTCCCAGGTTTGTTGAGCTGAGAAAATAGTAGAAACTGGCCATACAGGGAGAATATTTCACTAGAGCAGTAGGATGGCTATGGGAATTCAAAATTCAAAGCAAGTTCCACAGCAAACCAACTCATCTGGCAACATATTCTCCCTTTTTAGCCAATTCCTAATATTTTTACAGCCCGCAGAAGGATCTTCTGGGGACTAGTTTGTTGGCCTTCTGCACGATCGGGAAATATTCTTATTGTTTACAACGTCCTTACTTTCCACTTAAGGTCTTAATGGCAGGCATGCCGGATGGCCGTGGACTGGCGATGCATAATCCTCCATTTACAAACCGCGTGGAGGCCCCAATCTGGCCAGGATTACAGGCCACGAGTCGAGGAAAGACCTCCAGTCACAACACGGCCTTGGACTTGCCTGGTGCTGTCAACACGTTTATGATATGCTTGCGCACTGTTTGGTGATACTGCACGTCTTTCTCACGCACTCATGTCTGAAGGTTGCTGGGTCGGTATTAGGAACACCCACATGGTGTGTGGCCCGGCTCCACGGCTATATTCACCGACAAAGTATGGCCAAGTAGCTGGCTAGAAATAACAGGAAAATGAGTCTTGTGGTCTGCTTATCACAAAAGTCATCCGGAAGTTCAACTTGGTCATAGCGGAAGGGGAAGGGTGTCTCTGGTTTGTTAGCATCAATATCGATGGCAATAGTTTGTCAACTAGGATGCGCGAATGAGCAGCTTGTGATAGAAACTTGTCGTCAAGTATATACAAAATTTCCACATTCCCGTCTGCAAGTGCAGAGAGTGCATGGGAACGGCGCTCTCAGGAAGGAAATTTCTGCAAAGGGGACAGAAATGGTCCTTTAAAACATTACAGGTGCCACCGGGCTGTTGCTTTTTCCAGCTTAAACAATCAAATATTAATGGCAACGTTTCCATCAGATGTACCAACAGCACTCACAAAAAACCCTTATTTTCAAACAACACATCTCAGGCCTGTCAGCTCGAGGGTCAGATTTGCATACACGGCCCTTCATCTCATTCTTAGAGGAATAACAGGAAGAGATGCTGGCTGACAAGCAGGCGCACCTGGGTCCCATGTTACACCAAACACAGGCTCCACATCCTTTACCAATTAGATCAAAGGCCCATGGACAAATGTTAATAGGCAAAAGCCTCCATAAACAGACCGGGGTCCTTGCGTACATGCCTCCTTCTAATGCCACCATCAAATCATAACAGGGCCGACACAAACTCATTGCATGTGATGAAAGACAGCAGTGCCAGAAGTGGAAGGAAGGAGAACACAAGTGTGCAAGTAATCACTCTGTTTATGATTCTGATGATTAGGAGCGAAGTTTACTCTGGGAAGGGCTGCAGAGTTTTCCTGTGTTGATCTGCATTCAGCTGGGGGAATGAATCAATTTCTGGGCCCTGTGTGGGTTATGTTGACTGCCTGTTGACTGGAATGGGGCCAATATTTGTCTGGGAGTGGGGGCTGGCCATAAGGACATCTCTCCACTTGGCATAAATATGTCAGGTGAGCTGACTGGGAGATGGCAGAGAGCAGCCACCTGCTACTGGCACTTATTAAAGAGGAGGGTTAGTTAGGCACAGGACTGGAGAGAATCGCGGCACACGCTGTCCCCCCTCCCTTCAGTACAGGAACTCCCCCCTATGTGGTACGCTATGCACAGCTTTCCGTAGTCTCAAATAGCGCACAAATTGTCACCGACTCCCAACGTCACGCGAGTCGTGATGGTCTATAAGTTGGTCCATGAGTCATACCATCTGTCAGGTCGTTGACCTTTTACATCACATCTCACGGTGCCTTGGGGCAGGATGAAGAGCAGATGGCACCCTGGATGGCACCGTACCTTTTCATGATCCAGTAGCTCGGGATTAGTGCTAGGGGGAAGGGCTTTAATGACAGAACAGCGTGTCATCATTAGGGCAGGAGCTGGGACCAATTATATCTCGCAGCTTTTTAATATCCAGGAAAAAAGGGGGACAAGGTGAAGTGGCGAGTTGAAAGGAGACTGGGGATTAGTGCATGTAAATTCACATCTTTTTGTCCGTAGTGGTGTATGGTGTCAGTGCTAAAGGTCAAAGGTACAAATGCTCTGGAACCCTTCTTTGAACTTGGTGCTGAAATTCAAAACCAATTTGTTACACAGTTCTGACAGGACATAGCCTGGGTGCCATCTTAATTAGTTTCCTGGCACTCCTACGCTCCATCTTGGTAAACTAACTAGGATGGCATCCGGGCTTGACAGAATAAAGAGGTACCCAGCAAAATGAAAAGGGGGGCAACTCACTTTGATCCAGTGAGAAACCGCCGCCCTGCCAAGGCCACTGAGTTGACCGGTCCGTCATGTGGCTGTATAATGGCCAGGGGCTCGGCCGTGTACAGGTCCCAGAAATGGAGCTCGCCGTCCGCAGACCCACTCAGCAGGAGTCTCTTCTGCACCTGTCAGGGCGACAGACAGAAATATCAATCATTCAACAGGTTTTACCATCAATGGTTCACCTGGAGATGGAGAGATGTACTACCAGCACACGTACTAGCTACAGGGTTAAACATATCACCTGTGTATGCAGGTTAGTGCAGGTAAAATTGTACTTTTTCAGCTTCCTTCTGATGTCTACCTGTTGATTCATGTACTGGGTATTTGTTTTTTGTTTCCAAACTTGACTTTTCACTTTACAGTTCACAGTTGCATTCTAACTCCTGAGTCTAATGTAGAACAGACTCAGGATTTAAAGTCTTGCCATGAACACCTTGTAATGTAATGTACAGGTAAGATTTATGTGAAGCAGGTAATTTTGAATGTCACCTGTACCTGCACCTGTGGAAGTATGCAGAAAAAAAGGATTTCAAGCCCACTCAATCACACTAAAAATAACTGATACCTGCATAATGAAACTTGGCATGCATCACTCAATTTCTTTCCCTACCACCACCGGTGTCTGTACTTGGGCTGGCTGAGTAGATAGGCAGATGGGCATTGGAAACACCTGCCCAACTCCAAGTTTACCTGTACTCACCTATATGCAGGTGACATTTTGAATTTGAGCCTTATACCCATATGTGGATAGCAGTTCTGAGAAACCCTTGTATGTTGAGCATCTTTAACAGCTATAAGATGAGAGCCTGGGGATGTATATAAACTATACAAGGACCTATCAAGGGGTCTTAGAGGATTCTGTTTGTTGTGGTTTCCTTCCCATTTCTGGAGGAAGGGTGTAGAAGGCCACATGGCCCTCCTACCTCCCCAGAGAGCACCTATCTGAAACTTGTACTTGAACTAAAGTCAGCTAAGCACATTGGTGGCATTTCAACAGCCAGTTAGGGGTGCAGGGATTAGAGATTTAGTTGCAATCAGTTTGCTACTGATAGGGAAGCACCGAGAAATCCAATCCCCAGCTACCTCTGCTGCGCTGAGCCAGTAATGTTCTGGTGGGAGACACATGGACTTGATGCTGGGCAAGGGTTATCTATCATAAACAGAGGAGGTATTGCCTGCATCTGGCTGATGAGTCAGCTCAACCTGATGAACACCATTGCAAGTCGCTATTTTGGACAGTCTGGACCACAACAAAGGACATCTAGAAGAAATTACTTCCAGGCACATAGATAAAAGCATCAAGTGCACTTGTTTTTTTTAAACGGAATGATTCCAAGTTGACCATTTTTTTCCTTCCTGGGATGTTGCTGATTTGAGGCCCGTAATAGCGTAATGCCCATTTATGGAATGAGATCCTTTTGTTGCCCCAATGCAGATGGAAACACTGCCCAGACCTGCCCTGTGATGAAGACTAAGGGATTACTGTGGAGAACCCTGCCAGACTTACATACCTCGGACAGAGGAGGATGGAATGATACACAAATCACCAGAAGCCCGAGTGTTTGTCCCAGTAAGTGCTGCTCTGGATAAGAGCTGTCGGGGTGATGCGAATTCTGGCGTTTATTTGGAAACAGTTTCCATGGCTTTATCGGCAGATTCCTCCTGCTTTGCCGTTGTTCCTGACAACCAGACGAGCACTACAACATTGGACACCAAATTACAGTAAACCAGAGGTGGCTCTGTGGCTTCTGTGTGGATGCTAAGTTGGCAGCATCGTCTTGGAGTTCTTCTTTACACTTGATAATTCTCTAACCACCAAGTGTCTACTGACATGGGAGCTTTGTCTGAGAGGACATGAGGAAAATATAGTGAAGGCAATTATCATGACATAACAGTTTACAATCGTTGCCATGCATGCAAACTGTGAGCCTGGTAAAAGTTCTTGTGAAGGTTTATAATCACTACATCTGAGTCATGTTATGTGGGTCCTAACCAGCTTGATTTGTGTAGACACATGAAAACTCATTACAACTTACCCTCTGTAATTCAAGAGTGGCTCATGGAGGAAAATCTAGTACAGCAATTCCATCACTGTCTGTGTTCATGTGCACATTGCCAAGTACAACATACACATGGCCTGATAACTGATTATTGTTCTTCTTCAAAGAGATCACCAGTTATTGAATATGCCAATTTTTTTACCAAAGGCAAAGAAGAGTGCATTCCTGGGCCATTGCCATTGTCATTCTGAGATTGATGACCTCGCTATTTGGATGATTGTCAAAAGGACAAATCATAGTAGGAGGTTAGGAGATACATTCCTGTCAGAACCGCTACATGGTTTGATAGGAAATAAATAACAAAGTTTTAGTTGCAACTTTGCTCTGCTGCTTATGAAGTATAAAAGTAAACATTGCATGTGGATGAATGGACAAGAAAAACAGAATTAAAACTTGCTGGTAAATGGGGTAAAATGGCACTGACTAATCAATTGTTTATTTGTTTGTTTGATGGATCTCCATTAGTGAGTATACATATTTTACATTTGTAAAAGTAAACTGTTTATAGAAGTTCATCTTTGTTGTTTTCTTTCTGTAAAACAATTTATTTTTGTTTCCTGGATCTTATCATCTGTTTTGGAGTTTAGATGTCCTTTGATTTGGTAATACTGTATTAGTTTTCCATGCCATACATGTTACTTTGATTTTCAAAAGTAATAAAAAGAATGGTTTAAAAAAAAGCATGCATGTGGATGTCTTCAGTGGATGCTGAGATCCAGCCACCCACATTGCCTGCACACCTGCAGTTAACCTTAACTCCACCCACCCAGCCTTCTAAAAGTACTTGGTGTGACTTACGGTCAGACACAACACAGGTGCCTGGTGACCATGGTACTGCTGCAAACATTCGCTGGTGTGAATGTCACTCAGCCGAAGTGTCCTGAAACAACACACACCACACAATTAGTCTTGGCTGCAGTCACTGGAACAAGCCCAAAACACAACTATAGTTTTCTCTCTCTCTTTTCTCTCTCTCTCTCTCTCTCTCTCTCTGGGTTGTCACCTATACAGTCTCGATGTCACATTAACATTACCTGCTGTCAACTACATTTAATTGAAACATTCAACAAGGAAGAAGAAGAAGAAGATGTTATGTTCACAAGTTAAAGCGTAAATGTGTGGAGTAAAAACTGCCTTAAAGTATACTCAGCACATGTATTGCTTTCAACAAATTGTAAATATTTGTATAGTAAACATATGATTAAATAAATGAATGAATGGATGGATGACAGAATGAGGTATTCATTCCAACCAGCATCTACTAGTATTTATAATGCTATTTATGTAGATGTTGCAGAAAGCAGAGGTGATTTCATGGGACAGGGTTCATCTAAACAGATCAGCAGTAGATGACCCGTGGTCTGACAATGATAAGTACACTGATAGTTTTAGCCTCTTCCTTGTGTACACTAGGGGAGTGAAGGGTGAAAGCAGTCACAAAGCCCCTTGCAGGAAGGAGTCTCCAAGGCTACATTACATGTCAGTTTCTCCGAGCTGCTGCAAGACAAATTGGCAGGTCACATTCCAAGGTAGTGGCAGAGGGACATAAACAAACCATCATTGAGGATTAAAGTCATGGCAATGTGGAAAACAGGTGAGGCTCTCAGGACCAACAGCCTACACATCACTTTGTCAGGGGGTTACATGGGAAATAAACCTCACAGCTGGCGGGCTGCTTGGGTTAATCACTGTACAAGTCCTGGGAAGTCACCCAGGGTAACTTAGGCTTTCTTTATTATACAAGAGGGTTTTAACTTACACTGTCACCTGCAATGGAGAATCGTGCAGTAATACTTGCGGTAAGACTTCGTGTTCACTGTGATGGTTTGGGCTTTAGGAACATGTCCCAGTCACATGGCACTCACCACAGCCATATGTAATCCTTACAAAGGTCCCGAACATGGTCATTATACCCACCTTTCAAGGAAATGCACAATATCACACCTGGCTCAAGACAAAAGCATGTTAAGAAGACCACCCAGACACCATGGCAAAGTCTGCAAACCAGACCAAAATTATAATGTGGTTCTTGCAAGCCAACTTTTCAAAAGTTTTATTTACAACCAACCAACTAACCAACGACCAACCAACCAACCAACCAACCAACCAACCAACCAACCAACCAACCAACCAACCAACCAACCAACCAACCAACCAACCAACCAACCAATTAATCCATCAATCAATTATTCAAATTTTTTAATCACTTTATGAATGCTAATGAGTTGACTATCTGAATAAAAGTGTAATAATGAATGGATTCATCTCATTCAGCGTGTCACTTTGGCTGGTCTTTCAACTGATGTTCTCAGGAGATACATTGGGCAATTACAGATGAACTTAGGTACGTTAATGGCCGGTCAGCTGCTATTGTTACTTCATGGAAATAACGACAGAGTGAATGATTATCACTTCTGAAGTGAAGTGTACTTCCTAACCTGATCACACCTGCTGTCAGGTGAATGGAGAGATAGTAGAGAGGAAACTGCCTGTGAATCAGGGTCAATATGTTCAGCCAGGCTTGACTGATGTTACTCTGAGCGCTCAGTCTGCCATGAACTTATTACATGAGGTATAGTGGGTGGTCAGGATGGGGTTTAGCTGACATTTTCATGCCAAGACACTGTCTGATGAAGAAGTGAATCATTTATCCATGTCTCACAGTGTCACCTTTCTTAGAAATGTTAGGGAATAGCAATTATACAGGCAAGAATAAAACTCTAAGCAAACTTTTTTGTAAGTATTAATGGACATGAAAGGGGTTTTGCTGCGCTGGAACTCAGAACTTCGTAACAAAGATTTGCAGGAAAACTTAAAACCATATAAAACCACATGAACGTCCCTCAACATGACATGCTTTCGTCTTAACTCAGGGGAGACATTGTGCATAAATATCTATCTAGACTAGAGGTGGATATATTGACAATTTTTTCTGTTAAGATGTTGGTGTTCATCCTGTTTTTCTTTAATCACATGAACGCCAAACCAAAATCATTCCTTTTTCCTGAAATTTTATATTCATCCCTTCGGCAATCTCCTGCAAAACTAAGTAGAAAATCAAATAAACAACTACAACAAATAATATCTATAGGAAGGACATGTGCTATAAGAAGGAAGACAGAGTACTCACATGTCCAGGGAACCACTGACGACGCAGCGTCCAATCAGCTGCAGGCACGTGACGGCCTGGGTGTGTCCTTCGATCACGTTCAGCCACTCAAAGCTGTCCAGCGACCACACCATCATGGTGGAGTCATGTGATCCGGAGACCCTGGGACATGGATGACATTGGTTAGTCCATGTGGCTTGCTGGAATAATACATGTACAGTAACTGATATATTTTCTCATACATGTTGTTTGTTTTCGCAATTAGCACTTGGGCATGTATTTGCAATAAACTTTCTATACCATGAACTGATATACATGTAGAGTTACCATCTCCAACTCTGGTCGAATGAATTGTTCTCCAAAGCAAGATCAGTCCCGCTACCAAGTTTCCCTATTTTGGTCATTTTCTATGCTCTTTTTTACGTTGATGAAGGAGGTCTGGTAGTGTCTAGACATTGGTGTAAATGACATGATGTGGTAATATTGTTGGGATGGAAGAATAAATCCTATAGAGAGGGTACAGGCCATCGATATAGAACCCAAAGTCAAACAGAGGTAGTCCATTCTTTATTGGTCACTTTATCAGATTTGATAGTCATGCTGTCGTAGCACAATAAAATGTGAAATGCACCACAAACTGCCCTGTTCGAGGTATTTCGGTCGGTAAAGGATTCTTTGGCATGACAGACATGTAAAGCCTAAGCAGTTTGTCCACTTGTAATGGTGCATATACATGTATGGAGGGCAAAGCAACATAAGGAAAAAACATTTTCCTTCCATAAAGTATCTGTAAATAATCAGGTGTTTATTTTATTCCTGATGTGTTTATTTGGCAGCAGCAGGTCGGTCCTCTGGGACTGTGACTTGCCACACTTGCCAGCCATAAATAATGTCCTATAAAGATCCTGTAAGGGCCACCAAAGGTGTCCACTCATTCCTGGCCCCTGAGGGGCAACCCAATACCCTGGGAAGGAGAGGGCAGCCCAGCTTCAGATAATGAAGAGGCTGCAGCAGTCCACAGGGGAGCAGGATGGCAATATCAGATGATGAAGGAAGGCTGCTGGCCAAACCCGTTTTGTTGATCATCATCATCATCATCTGTTGACCCTAACTGTCTGCCTGACCTCATCAAGAATGTTTCCGTAAAATCAAGGAGGCACCGCAAACGTGATTGATAGTGATATTCCTCCTGCAGAAAATTCTTTTCAAAACAAATTTTGGTTGAGCTCACCTGAACAGAACCTTACAAGATGAAGAAAATTGGGTCAACTTATCTGAACAAGTTCTCCACATAAATGATTTGCACATCCAAGTCATTGTGCACGAAACTACCTGAGTGGCAAAGAAGCATGAAGCCCTCACAACAGAAGCCTTGCATGACCCCCACATATACCTTTATACAATGGACCCTGCTTAACTTACCTATGGGTCAATTAAGGCTTTATGAGGTGCGAGGTGAGCAGAGATACCTGCCCTTGGGTGTCCGTGACAGGTACTTCCTCTGTGGATTTACACATGTGTAAACTGTTGCTCATGGTTGGCCACAGGAAATTTCCTAATTTCAAGAGGGTGCATGGGATTGCTGCCCACATACAGACAGCCCTGAAATCCCTGTGTTTTCCCTGACAAAGTCCAGAGGCAGGAAGTCCCACATCACACCACAGGTACCCAGATGTGCCTGAGCACCATTCCCACCATTAGTCATGGGCAGGTGACATGCTCATGTGAGAAGTGTGCTAATTACTTTCTCACACCTTGAAGGGCAAAGTGGCATGTCTCACCCTGTCTGTGAGTTGAGCGCAGCTGTGGGGAGGGGAGAGGGAGGGACCCTGACAAACATCAGGACCCCGGCCACATGGTACCTGTGCTGTACCTGTCCACCAACCCTGGCCTTCCTCTACCAACACTCACCTCTATCTCCAATCACATGTAACACATCCTGATAGCTAACCTCCTGTGTGAGGCCATATTTTCCAACTGCTGGTCACCCTGGCCTTTAGGGAGCTGTGATGGAGGTCGCAGATACTGGGGAACCACTGAGCCAAGGATTCTGCTCATTTCAGTCTGGACCTGTCTGGCCATGAGGGCTCTCCCTGTCTGCTCAGACAATCAAACTGTCTGTGTCAACAAACTCTACAACTCATCTGTCTAGAAATCGATCACCTGAATTACAACTGTAAAACAACCTTTTTTAAAAATCTTTCACGCCTGCTTATGAGCATCTAAAGTTTGAAAGTGAAGTTAGAAGCTGAAATGACAGGGCAGCAAGGAGAAAGGTGATTCCTCCTTTCAAAAACACGAAATTCCATCTATTCCATTGACGTTTAAACAAAGAGATCCTAAATACTGTTAGCTGTGTAACCTATATATATA